CCCTTCTGCCTTGTAACAGATTAAACCCAAGTTTAAGTCTTATATTTGCTCTTATTTGAAAGATATATTCCAGAAAATCTAAAGCAAATAGTGGTAAGGGGAAAAAAAATCATCTCTGCACTGACCAGCTTAGTGCTGAAAGGCTGTKAAACAATTATTGTTTCCAGAACAGCACTGATTGCTGATGTAAACACCAGAAAAGCCAACGGGCACAACGAGTTCATCTCCATGAGCGGAGCTTTTTGCCCTCCCTCTTCCCTCAACTGCTTTTCTGGTTTCTACTGTAAATAGCGAGCCCCAGTTCCACCCAGTTGAACTGGGAGAGCAGCAAAGCCTTGTTCAAGGGGCACAAACTCGGACATCTCTCGATGGAAGGTATGCCGGCCCTGAGCCCCCCACTGATGTCAGGGGCCAGCCCCAGGGCGCTACCTGCCGCGCATTTTTCTTGTTGAACTTGAGCGGCTGATCACTGGTGCTAGGATTCCTGTTGGGAAAGCTGGACAGCTTGGGCTGTAGCTGCCTGCGGGCCAGCAGCTCGTGCTGTTACGCCAGCGGTGACCAGGCTCCAAGGTTCGAGGGGGAAGGGGGCGGAGAAGGAGCCTCCTTCTCTTCAAGCCTTAATGGTGGCTGATACACAGTACTGTAAGATGCACTGCCAGCATACGTGGTATTTTAAGCTAAATGTAGTTTTTCCTTAGCGATCAAACTCTAGTATCAAGATATTAAGTCTTGTAATGGGTTTACTGTTGTGTTGTTTTTGAAGCTGAGCCCCAGCGCTCCACTTTCAGCCTGAGCAGGATGCTTTAGAAGCTGCCAGCCTCGTTTTTCAGAAGGTACCATTTGTGATGGACAGTTTGTGCTCCTGCCTTGCAGACCTGACAGCTCTAGGCCTTGCAAGGGGGCCTGTGTAGCCAAACTTGATTAGTACTTTCCCTCCATGCTCAGTAAGTAATAACACCTATTAGGCGCCTCCAGATTGGGTTTAGAAACTTGCTGCTATCTTTGAAACCTGGTATGGGTCATGTCAATTGTGCCTTTCATCGCTGTTTCTTCATGTGCCACACTTGTCCATGTATATTTGAAAGAAAGACATGAAAATAAATCTGTTCTAACATTCTTACATAAAAGGAAAAGGTAGTTCTGTATGTAGAGGCAAGTGTTGCTTTACTCTTGCGTTCACCCAGCCCTAGGGCCAGCTCTTCCTCTCTTAGTCTTATTAGGAAACTGCTTTCCAGTGCCACTTTAAAGAAATCAAACCAACTTGTCTTGTGAAGCTTACGCCAGTACGTGCAAGAGAGCTGCAGCAAGAATTGTGCTAAGTAGATTTGTCGCGGCTAAACTTAAGCTACAAACATGTACTTGGTTTTAGGAATGTACTGCAAAAGTATTCAAACAATTGCTAACATGTTTACTGTTGTAAATATTTTAATAAAAAAGGACACTTCAAGCTTTTTTTTTTTTTTACACAATTATCTACAATAAAGAGAAATTTACAACCATTTACAAAAAAAAAAAGTTCTTAACTGTTTTTCTTTTCTGTCAAGACAGCTAAGATTAAATCAAACTAAACCTTAGATACCTGAAGTCCTGTTTTCATTTCACTCTGTATTTATAAAAAGAGCAGAGCATCTTGGTGAAGTTCCAGCCCAGGGCTAAGGAGATCAAGTAGAGCACGATGAGAAGTGCGAAGGGATACAGAAGAACAGCCGTGTTCTTCAAGAAGGGCAGTGCTGAAAGAGAGGCGACAATCCCGAAAGGAAACATAAAATACTTCGCTACCCTCTTCCTCGGAATGACACGTTCGCCCCCTCTGCCCTACGCGGGCAGGGTAATAACAAGTGTCAGCCCTACTTACCGCTGTACCCTAGGAAGGTCACGTAGATGTAGTAGCCGATGGCGATGAGCCACAGTGTGTTCCCAACAAAGTACCCAATGACGGAATTGGATACGATGACATCTGAAAGAGGCAACCTCTCTCAGCAGCTTGGACAGGGCACAAGGGAAAGCAGAGCGCGTGTCAGCTCCTCTACTCACAGTTGATGAAAAAGAGCTGGATAAAGTGCAAGATGACCAGCAGCGGGTAGAAGGCGTTCAGGTGGACATCAAAGGCATAGCCCCACTCCACGTCATAGTCTCGGTTCTGCTGCTTTACCAGGTACTTGTTAGAAATGAACCTGCAGGGCAGGACAGAGAGAAGGTGGTTGATGTAAGTGCCTGACTGACCTAATGCTGGTCAAGGTAACGAGCTGTGCCATAGTCCAGCTCGGAGCTTGGACAAGGCAGGTCCCCCTCTGCCCCACGAGGGAACGACATGCAGGAATCACACTGACCAGACTCCTGATAAACTCCTTCATGCTAGAAATATATGTATTTTTTGCATAAAATACTCACCTAAAGAGCCCAAGAAAGCCTCAGCTTTATTTGGTGGTTTTTGCTTGTTTAGCGAAGTGGAAGAACGCTACAGTTTATTGATGCAGTCAACACATTATGAAGCAGTTTTGACAGCTCTATACCAGGTGATTTCAGGAAAATGCTTGCACATTACTTCACCTTATAGAGATGTTTTATATCATTTCTACAGAAATGGCAGCTCTTTGAGGCAGAAAAGAAAGGGCAAATTAACAGTCTTCCAGTGTTTTCTTCAGTTAAAGTTTTCCTGCCCTCAGGACGTTTATCTCATTTAGAACTGGCTCCAGAAGTCAACACACGCACAGAAATCAACAGCTAGAAGCCCAAAACTTTGCCCGCTGCAGCACCGTCTGAAACGCTGGTGACCTCCTGCCGTTCGGCGGGTCCTCGCTGACCTGGYAAGTGCCTGCAACGCACAGGGGCTGGGCTACGAGCCCCCTGACTATAAGCCAAGCGAAAAAAGGGGGCAAAAAGCAACAGAGGCATCCGCCCGCCACGCTCCCGCACGGCCACTGCTTCCTCTCCCTCAAGAGGCCATGAAAGAGAGATGAGAAGTGACAGGGCTGCTGGGCTGCTTCTGCCCTTGCTCCCTGGCTTCAGCGCACGTGACTGCAAGTGAGAGCTGTCACCTCTGCGCATGGAAGGAAGAAAATCAGCCCTCTCTACCACAGCACCCTGGAGAACAGGAAAAGTGACATCTAAGACGAGAGGTTGTTTTGCTGCACCTATAGGGCTCGTAATTCCCTCCTTTCTGGCCTGCYCATGAAGGGCAGCGTGTGCCTCTGTGTGCTACAGGTAGAACTGGCAGTGATTACCGCCATCAAGACAAGCTGGTGTGCGTGAAACAGTCAGAACCAGCAAGGACTGTAGTAGAAACAGAAGCACGGGCCAGTTTCCTGTTGCCCCATTTAAATGTTATCATTATTAGCCTTRCTAGTCTTGTATTAGCCTTGTATTTAAGCTCTTAGGCAAAATAAGAAGTGAAGGGTTTTTCTGATCATTGTGCTTAGAATTAATGCTGATCAACCAGCTCAGAAAGAAAAACCAAAACACTGACTATACCACAGGCTTTCTAAATATAACTAAAAGCAACCATCTTGCAAACAGGACTGTGCTGACCTGACAGCAACACTGCATTGAGTTTCAGACATTACTACTCACCACATCAAGGTTGCTATCAGAAGGCCAACACCTACGCAGTCTATAAACACCACCCAAAGCAGTAGCTTTATTGTTTCAAAAAACCCCATGTCCAGCACAAATCCAAATCCCACGGTGGACACTGAAGAGAGAAAAGAAAAAAAAAAAAGGATTACTAAAACTACCTGTAAAGAAAGAGTGACCTTAAATTGGTGTGGGYTTCAGTGTTGTTAAGACTGATGGAGGGAATATCTGATTGACGAGAGCTACCAAAACTCATCCTTTCCTCCCTGCCCGCCGCCGGGCACTCACCGCACAGCCAGACGCTGAGCAGCACCAGGAAAGCRGGATCATCCCTCGCCCACTGGTCCTTGGTCTGCTTCCTGTAGTGGAAGTTCCTGTAGACCCGCTGCGGCGAGGTGAACAGGTAGAGCATCTGCCAGAGCGCGAACTCGAAGTCCATGTGGCGCAGGCGGAGCAGCCGCCGCAGGTACTTGGAGCGCTTCGCCCCGGCCGTGTGCCGCGCCGCGTCCCTGCCGCTCAGCGCGCCGTTGCCCTGGCCCCGGCCGCCCGGCGACGTGGTCGGCAGCATTTTGCTAGCGGGGGAATACGGTTAAAAACGCTCATAAGGGAGGCAGGGGCGCGAGCCCCGCCCCAACCGCCCCAACGGCCGCTGCGCGGCCGTTGGGGCGGTTGGGGCGGGGCTCGCGCCGCGGAGGGGGGAGGGAGGGGGGTCTCACCTGCGCTCCCGGGCGCGCCGCGACCCCCGCCCCGCCGGCTTCCGGCAACGTCGCGCGCCGTGACGCGGCCCGCGCCCCGCCCCTTCCTCCCGCCGCCGGA